CGAGTTCAACTGAGATTAATAAATGACTTTATTAATTCATTATTATTAATATTAATAAAATTTATCTATTTGGTAAATATATGAGATTTCTAATTGTATCAAATGACTTCAAAAATATTCTTAAATAGAGGCCGTTAGAGTTTTGTCTGCCATTCCAGGAATTTAGTAAAAGCATCAAGAACAAGACAAGTACCTATTCAAGTTCAACCGAAGAAGTAGAGCCAGATAAAAAGTAGTTGATCAGATTTGCTAGTATATTTAATGAGTTTCCATGGCATTGGAGTTTCAAAGTCTTCAATTGACTAAAGAGAGACGGTTGATGTTCTGATACACAAGGAACCTCCATCAGAACCTAAGAAATAAAAACAAAGGAAAAAACATGTGAATTTCAACCCAAGCATGCTCAGTAAGAAAAGCGCAATCATGGAGATGCAAAGTGGTCAACATGGAAAGATTGAAACATTCTAGCAAAGGTACCTCCATAATATGTAACGATTCAAAGTTTCAAAGACAGAATGTGATGGATGATATTGTCTGGCAGATGGCTCAATCTGTCCTCATCTTTGTTTTCTTCTCCTTGTTTCTTGGTCTTCTTGTTTCTTCTTGCCATAAAGACTTCAAAACTTGAAAAGGACTCATAAGTATAGAGGATTAGACAAATATATGCACCAGAGAAAAGAAAAGTACTCTATTGTTGTACTGTCTCAAAAACAAAGTCATTCATATTACTATTCTATAGGTATTCGAATTATGTTTCAGATGACTACATATGTGGAGTGTTTACTTTCAATCAATTTATAAAGTCGAGAAAGAGATGGCAACAGCAAGAAAATAGAGAAAGCATGAGCATAGCAAGATGAATATCATCAGGCGGGCCTCTAAGCCAACAACTTATGTTGTTTCTTATGATTTCATGTAGGGAGAACAAGATCTTAAAACCAGATGTAAACACGCAACACTTAATGTAAACTAAGGGCAATGTTGCAACTTGGAGTCAATGAAGAACCAAGAATTCTGCAGAAAACAACCAGATTGTTTGCAAGCTTTGAACACACACTCAAAGCCCATAGTAACTCAGAATAACAAGTTAGAAAATATATTAAAACCAACCGTCAACTTCAAGGAGAAGAACAGAGAATTGAACACAAACACAGAACCATCAAAACAAGAGGTTACAAGCTTCCTTTAAACAGAACAGGTAAAAAATGTCAAAAACAGAGTTTCAACAGAGGCAGGGAGCTCTGTTGAAAAAGCAAAATCGACAATCCCATTGACGAAATCCATGACTCGTCCTACAACCATTTTAGCAAAATAGTTGACTAAAAGAAATTTACTTCAACCAAAAGATGAATTCAATTCAATCAAAAGAAATTTACCTCGTCCAAATGTTCACAATTGACGACAGCTAAGCCCTTGTCTTGAAGATATATAACTCAAGAAAATTGCCCACAATTGAGAAGCGACAGGCAATGATGCAATCCTCAATGAAAGAAAACCACGCTTTTCGCCAATATGGATTTATGTAAAGGACAACAAAGATTTCCAATAACACAACTGCATATGAAACCAGAAAGCTTACACAGAAAACATACGTGCTCGGTAAACTGCCTTCTCTTTCCTCATCTGATGCAGTTGATAACGTTGGTGGCAAATCAGTTTTGGAGCAATTGTTATGCAATGGAGGTCCACAGAAAAGAGGGTTTCCCTCGTAACTGCTTTCATCAAATGTCCCAAACTGACCTTTTCTTTATAGAGTACTACCTGACAAGTTGCTGTGTGCCATGCTGAAAACCGCTAGAAAGTTCAACTCAGCTAGTTGCACAGGGATTCTACCACTCAAATTGTTGTAAGAAAGGTCCAAGCTCTCAATCTGATTAAAATTTGAAAACGATGAAGGTCTAACTCCCGTCAAGTTATTGTGTGAAAAGTTTAATGAATGGATTTCACTCAACTTTCCCAATTCAAGTGAGATTTGACCAGTTAAGTTGTTACAGGATAAATCAATTGTGGACATTTCCTTAAGAATGTCACCTTCATAATAGGAAGAGCCATTCTTTGTCGTAAGCTGTAACTTTTCTTTCGTGTAGCCGGCAGGATACAATCGTGATATAGGAAAATTGTAGTTTGGTTAATTCATGCCAATCCAATACATAATCTTCATCTATGGAAGACTTGACATAACTTGATGCAAGTGTTAAACGACCCAGACAAGAAGGAATAGGACCAGAAAGCATATTTTGATAAAGATTTATGATGCTCAAAAAGAGTTTGAATACTCTTTGGAATGATTTTATTGAGAAACCACTAGGGGTTTATATACAAGTTTCATTGTCAATATAAAAGGAAAAATAATCTATGCAATAAAGGAGAATTCCCTAGATCAAGCCTATAATTAAGAAAAATTACAATCAAATCAATTATAATAACCAAGTCAATCAAATCATATCAATTGAAATGGTAATCATGGTAAATTAGAATCAATAATTAAGATAGCCTTCATTACAAGGAATACAATTTGCATAACTCAACTGGGATTCTACCATCTAGGTGATTAGCCTTCAAAACAAGGACACTCAAAGCCAAAAGAGTGCCAATCCATTTTGGAATGTTGCCAGTCAAGTTTTTGCCTCTAAGATCTAATGTTACTAACGAAGAGCTGTTATGCAAAGCACGTGTTAATGGACCATTTAGTCTATTTCTGCTTAGGTGGACATGTTCTATGTTTGGTGGATTGAAACACGATGGTATAAAGTTATGCATATCATATTATATTCTGTTCTATTGTTACACTTTACTGTAACAATAATTTTAATAATATCTAAATGTTTGTTATGTGGATATGTACGTGTACTATTTTAAAGCTATAATAATAATTTCATAAAACTACACTCAAATCTTCTCTTCTTTCAAATTTGTACTTACCATAATATAATATTCTCTTTTAAATTAAATCTTCACTTTTTAAATGACTCATAAATAAGTAGTGGAATTAAGTTGGACTTGCAAACTACCATATTAAATAAGTAGGACATATATTAAATAAGTAGTTTCTTTTCGTTTTCATTTTTATGAGAAAAGTCATGATATGACAAATTGGGCAAAGTTCGTTCTATCCTTTTAAAGTCATGATATTGGCCTTACACTCTTTCACCTCATTCTTCCATCTAACTTCATCATATTTAACTGTAAAAATATAATTAAGATAGATGGAATTTACAATTCTAAAATGACAAATGGCCCAAGATTTGAAGGTCAAATAAAAACAGTATCCCACTGTTCTCAAAGCATGATCACTGCATGTTTCTGATTAAGCTCAATTTCGTAATTTTTCATATCATTATCCCAAAAACAGGTTAACTAAATTTGAACGCATGATGTCCTAAAGGTGACTTTGGCAATTGAGGGAAGTGGTCCATGGAGCAAGTCTGACTTGGAAATGCTTGAAAGGCTGTCACAATTCTGTAAATTTAGCTGAAAGAATGTGTTCTTAGCAAGAACTAAATCAAAAGAGTGTTTTTGGGGTGAAACATCCCTTGTTTAGATATTTCGATCAATAGTTATACATCAAATCAATGATGTGAAGAAATGCAATGAAGTTGGACTTTTGAACTACTCTATTAAATTTTAAGAGAAAAACAGTGAACGTCTTTGACAAATCAATAACTCAACTCAGTTCGTACGGTCCTTCAAACTAAGATTGTGAATTAAAATCCCCTCTTAACTTGATGTTGACACAGAAAATAATAGATAAGATTAATGGATTGTCCCTAAATTGCGTTAGAATTGAGATTTTCCTTCAAGTCTTAATTCCAATTGATAGTTAGAATTTCAATTGATGTCTTGTTTCCTGTCTTTGAGTTGACTAATGTATGAGAGTAAAATACATAAACACCCTTGACTATACTTTAAATTTAATTTTTGGAATAGAAATTGAAATGCTTAATGAGACTCTAAAACTAGATTAAAAACCATTTAGTTTATATGCTTAATCCGATGCTGATCATTAGAGGAGGGGTTTCTAATCTTAATTTCTGACATGAGCATATGATTCCTCTGGATGTTGATTTTGTTCCAGCTGTTCATTTCAATGGTTTTGAAATTGATTACAACTTTAATTATTTAGAGACAAGCAATTGATATATCAAGTTAACCATCATAGCAATACATAACTGAATGTTGGCTTTTACAATCCTTGATTTCATTATTCTGTCTTATTCCATTATTCTTCAATTATAAAAATATACATATAGAATCATGGTTTGTGCAATTCTAGACCTGCCATTGACCCGAGATTTGAAGGTAATGCTAAAATCAAAACAACATCCCACAATTCTAATCAGATTCATTCTTAGTGAATTGCAATTTACTAGTCTACTAGAATGAATATATATCTACTAAGGGTTTCTTACAATTTGTAATATGGACCATGAATGGGATGCCTTTTTATACCTTGGTTCTTCAGACAAATTTCTCTATCAACAATTATTTGTGCAATTTGCAAGCATAGTGGAATTAAGTTGGACTTGCAAACTACCATATTAAATAAGTAGGACTTATATTAAATAAGTAGTTTCTTTTTGTTTTTATTTTTTATGAAAAAAAGTCATGATATGACTAATTGTGCAAACTTCGTATTATCCTTTTAAAGTCATGATATTGGCCTTACACTCCTTTACCTTATCCTTCCATCTAACTTGTTCATTTTCAACTGTATGAATATAATTAAGATAGATGGAATTTACAATTCTACAATGACAAACGACTTGGAAATATGCTTGAAAGGCTGTTACATAAAGGCCTTGAAGAAACTCGATTACTTGATATTGGTTGACTTGACTTGACTTGATATCAAAGGAGATTTTTAATTCTACTGTTAATGTATAAAAAAATTATGTAGTATTATTTATTTTGGAAAGCACGAGTCAAATTTATTTCCAAACTCTTTGCCCAAGTTAGTTGTCTCGCAATTTCATGACAATCATCACAAGAATGCGCGGAAAGTGCAGGTCTTTTCAGATTCTACTGATGTTTCTTTGGCTTTGCCATAGCATAACAACTGCAAATGGCTTCAACCTAAGTGCCAAAGAGGATAACATCCGGTGCATAGAGAAGGAGAGACGTGCTCTCCTTATGTTCAAGCAAAGCGTTGTTCATGATCCTGGTCGACTCTCGTCATGGGGAAGCAAAGATGGAGAAAAAGATTGTTGTCTATGGCGAGGTGTCCGGTGTAGCAACAGAACAGGCCATGTAATCATGCTCAATCTTCACAATCCTCTGACCTTTGACGATGGCTTTTATGCCTATCAGAATAATCGTCTGAGAGGTACCATTAATCCTTCACTGCTTGAACTGCAACATTTAAGATATTTAGACCTTAGTGGAAATGATTTTGGAGGAAGTCTGTTTCCGAATATAAATGGCTCCCTAAACAGGTTAAGATACCTCGATCTTCATGACACTGCATTAAGTTCTGCTATATTGTATCAGGTTGGGAATCTTTCTTCTTTAAGGTATCTTGACCTTAGTTGGAACAACCTTAGTGAAGCCAAGGATTGGCCGCAACTACTCAACAAGGTCCCTTACCTAGAAGACCTGAAGTTGAGCTGGTGTAGTCTTCCGATTATCCTTTCTCCACCTTCCCTCACTAATTCTACTTCAACACAAATTTCCATTGATCTCTCTGGAAACGAACTTACTTCTTCCATTTACCCGCTGTTGTTCAATATTACCAGCAAAATTGTTGATCTTAGCCTCGATGAAAACTCGTTAGGTGGCTCAATTCCTGACTTTTTCAGGAATATGATTTCTCTGAAACATCTTTCTCTCTCGGTAAATAACCTTGAAGGTGATATTCCAAAATTCCTTGGGAACATATGTACTGTTGAAACATTATCCCTTGCAGTCAACAACCTCAGTGGATCAATTATTCCTGGGTATTTTGGGTGCCTGGAAAATTCATTGCAGTTTTTGGACCTATTTGTAAATAAGTTTCATGGTCCATTAGTGTTACCTTATATTGCAAGATTTTCTTCCTTAAGAGAGCTTCATCTAGCAGATAATAGATTAAATGGCTTTTTGTCAGGGACCTTTAACTTTAAACAACCTTCCAAGCTTACTTACTTACATTTGTCAAGTAACCAACTCAAAGGGACGTTGCCTGATTTCACAATATTTTCATCCTTGAAAGTTTTACTTATTAATGATAACCAATTGAACGGGGCTGTTCCTGAAAGTTTGGGATGCTTATCCGAGCTTGAACACTTGTACTTTGCTCGAAATTCTTTGGAAGGTGTGATATCTGAAACTCATTTCAAAAATCTCTCCAAATTAAGGTTTCTTGACTTGTCGTTTAACCATTTGGTTGTGAATTTTAGCCCTGGTTGGGTTCCTCTTTTTCAGTTACATCAAATTTATCTATCATTTTGCAAACTGGGGCCTCACTTCCCAAAATGGCTTCAAACTCAAAAAGAATTTGAAGATCTTGATATCTCTGGTGCCGGAATTTCGGATACTATTCCTGATTGGTTTTGGGACCTACCTCCACACTTATTATCTTTAAATCTCTCTCATAACCAAATGACTGGCATGCTACCAGACTTATCATCACTCAAGTTGAAGGAATTTCCTGGAATGGATTTAAGTTTTAACATGTTTGAGGGTCCGTTGCCAGTGCTTCCTTATAACATGACATCAATAATTCTTGCGAAGAATAGGTTTTCAGGATCAGTTTCTTCATTATGTAAGACTGCGGCTGGGTCTTTGAGCATTCTTGATCTTTCTGATAACCTATTGTCTGGAGTGCTTCCTGATTGCTTTTTTCACTGGCAAAACCTTAGTGTTTTGAATTTAGCAAATAACAACTTCTCAGGGGTTATTCCAACAACTGTGGGATCGTTGTTGTCAATTGAAACAATTAATTTGCGCAATAATAGCTTCTCTGGAGACTTACCTTCATCTTTGAAAAATTGCAATCGGTTGGCATTTTTGGATTTAAGCGAGAATATGTTTTCTGGAAGTATACCGGCCTGGATAGGAGAAAACTTGTTTTCTTTGATTTTTTTGAGTCTACAAGCTAATGAGTTTTATGGGAGGATACCTTCCAATTTATGCCAATTAGCAAATATACGGATTCTGGACCTCTCCCAAAATACTCTCTCTGGAGCAGTACCATTGTGCCTCAATAATTTGACTGCCATGGTTCAAAAGGGAGATCAGGATGATATCATTGGACAAGAATATTGGTCTTCAGGCGAAGCTAATGGTTTTGCTACAGGCTTTTATATTGCGGAGGCATGGGTTGGATTGAAAGGAAAAAAGTACGAGTGTGAAAGAAATCTTGGACTGTTTAGGATCATTGATCTTGCAAGCAATAAACTAGATGGAGAAATTCCAGATGAGATAACAAGACTTTCTGAATTGGTTGTATTGAACTTATCAGGGAATAATCTGATTGGGTTTATTCCTGAAAACATTGGTCGGTTGAAACAATTAGAATCACTTGATTTGTCAAACAACCAATTGTCAGGGCAAATTCCTAACAGCATAGCTGATCTAAATTTCTTGAGTTACTTGAACCTGTCATATAATAACTTATCAGGAAAAATTCCTTTGGGTACTCAACTCCAGTCCCTTGATGCTTCAGCCTTCATTGGTAATCAAGCACTGTGTGGGCCTCCAATTACACAAGAGTGCCCCAAAAAGGACACGTTTCAAGCTCAACCACTTGAAGAAGAGAGTGATGAATTCAATAGATGGTTTGATGTTGGAACGGGAATCGGATTCTTCATGGCGTTTTGGGGAGTTTTTGGCACTCTACTGTTGAAGCGTTCTTGGAGGCATGCATATTTTCGACTCCTGGATAACTGGACGGACTCAATGTACGTGACATTCATGCTGTGGTGTGCAAGATTGGAAAGGAAGTTCAAAAGTTAGAGACTAATAAGTTTCTACAAGAGGTCAGCGAACTTAACGTTTTTATGGGAAAAATTATATTCATACATGTTTTATTGTCTTCTATAAAAGCACTCGACCAAGCTCATCATGGTGGATGATATTTAACAAATGGTTTCAATTTCGAACATGTTCCGGCTCTTAGCTCCAATCCCTTGATGCTTCAGCCTTTATTGGTAATCAAGCACTCTATGGCCCTCCAATTACACCACAGTGCCCAAAATTAAGACGTTTCAAGCTCAGCCACTAGAAGAGAGAGATGAATTCAGCACATGGTTGTATGCTGGAATGGGAATCGGATTCTTCATGGCATTTTGGGGAGTCATTGGCACACTACTGTTGAAGCGTTCTTGGAGGCATGCATATTTTCGACTCTTGGATAACTGGACTGACTCACTGTACATGACATTCATGCTGTGGAGCGCAAGATTGGAGAGGAAGTTCAAAAGTTAGAGGCTACTAAGTTTCTACAAAAGGTCAGCAAACTTAACGTTCTTATAAAAATAAATATATTTATACTTGTTTTATAATAACACTCAACCAAGATCATCATGGTGGATGATATTCAAGAAATGGTTTCAATGTCAAACATGTTCAGGCAAAATTCTACTTCATGAATCTATAGACTAGCTATATGCATTAAAGTTCAATTTTTAATTAAAACCATTCAATTTATAAGTTTGATCTGATAGCAAGAATAAGTGAGAAGTATCTTGAAATTCACTCTGTGATGTGAATTTTGACTATCATAGTAAGTTGTAGCAATATCAGAGTTGTGAACTATGGATTCAAAAAGATAAAGAACATGGCACGCAGACATAGCTCCAGATTGGGATGAAATGCATTGTCTGTTGATGAATACTCTGCTTTTTCTTCTGCTTTGAGAAGGATGAATAAGTATGCTTTCAAATTATCTTCTTGTCTATGTGTGCTTATCTACTTGTTGATGGACAAATTCTGACGAAAACTTTGTTCAAAGTTTTCAGTTTGTTTTAAGACATTACATCTTCTTCTCTTATTACCTTTATATATTGATGTATTTGTAATCCTTGTGAGAGAAATATATAATTTTTCTTCACAAAATCACTGCATAATTAGATATTGATTATTACGGTCAAAGATATCATCAATCTTAAAATTCTTTTTAATACATATAAAATTGTTCGAGGAGAGAGTAAATTCGGATAGTGGACCTTATCCCTCTTCAAGAGGGATAATAAGTAATAACTAGCAGATAATCAAGCTTTATTCGTGACTTACTTAATCCCGTCTTGCTATAATACAATTATTCTTCTTAGTATCATAAGTTATATAATTTGTTTATGCTACAGAAACATAAATTAGGACTATGGCAACATGAATGTCTATGCTATGTATGCTTATAATCTTGCTAATATATTGGTTGTGCAAACTTTGTTTAATAGTTATGACATTGCCTGTTTGATCAGAGATTGGCATCCCAGATGAAAGATAGGAAAGTTATGATTATACCCAAAAGGGTAAACTAGTTGCGCATGCAGTTGGTGATGGGTCGAGTCAAGTTTGAGCAATGACGGTATGTCCGACTTTTTTGGTAGGCAATGCAGGACAGGACAGGAAGTCCTCTTCCCAGTTTAAACCATAGCCATATGAGGACAAAATGCTCTTCAGATCATTCAGGATAAATGCCAGTCAAGTCAGATCATTGCTGTCATATGTTCGGATATATGAGAGCAGAGAGTTCGTATTTGGGCAGGGTATGATGAGAGATCAGATTTTAATCCTGGGTGACCTGTTCAGCATGTGAGGGTACAGTGTTTGATGTGAATCCCCATCATCACAGCAGCTATTGAAGGTAAATTTACAGCACAAAAATCCAGAGATGCCATGGACACCAACCATACCGCAATATAAGTATTTGTTCTGCCTTACTTTCTTGGATTTTGATGTACTTAATCATAGGTGGTTTGCATAGAAATGTTTGTAATTAGAAAAATCATTTGCTCATAATTAGCACCTCCAGCAACTAAAAGAAATAAAAAGAAGGCACTTTGTAAGATAGAAATGTGCACATATGACCATCTAAAATCACTATAGAGAGATACTACATATGTAGGCATGAAAGCTACATCTTCCCATTCATGTATTTGATGCATGGATAAGCAAAGAGAATTTGCCCCCTACAAACCAAAAAAATACATGACCAGAAGACCCATTAACTACCAAAAGAAACCAACCTACTTGCTATAACAAGAAAATAGATTCAGGGAGAACATTACAGAGACAGAATCTCATCACTGTTCTTTCCAAATCCTTCCTGTCACTCTAAGCTTCAATTCTTTCCGGTCTCCCCCTGAGAAGAACAAAGCCATGTTTCGTTGGATGATGAGACCATCAAAACTGTCACGAACCTTCCGGTGACTGTCCCTTATGCTCCTGGGCACCCCTTGCCAAGTCATCTTCCTCCCATTCCCACCCACCTCGAGACTGTAGCTATAGTTCTTTGCCTCATTATCATCACCCATAAACCGCAGGAATGCTATATAAACAGGAGCCATCCCAAGCTGGAATGCTTCAAAGTGCAGGCAAAAGTACTGACCAAAGCAACTGAAAACCTAAAAATTGAGAACAGAAATCCAACTATCAGTGGCATACACCTCACAAAATCTTTAAATAAAATCTAAAATAACAAGGTTAAGCCTATGAATATCATAGTGCCACATCAAATAACAAAAAGAAGCATAATCTCTTCTCCAAAAATAAAAAACAGTCTTCAATTCTGTGTGGAAAAGCCACTTTATTAGTTTTATTCTTTTGAGTCCCCTGTATAATTGCATTCAATGGTAGAACAATAGAACAATACATTGACAATGGACTTTATATGATTCTCCATTCATTTTAATAAATTTCAAGTTCTTGAATTAACAAAAACAGTAGAATAATTCCTCTTCTAGGGGGTTGGAGAGAAAGCAAGATATGACAAGAAATGTGAAGCAAGAATAAAGCAACAATACCGTTAGCATCCATGTAGCATTCTCAACCTCATGTGGATTTGATTTGACATAACGATGGTTGAAGGTGCTGCCATTGTGCATGTCAACTTTATGATCATCTTTGAGATGGGCCACAAGATAAGGAATATCACCAATGACTGTGCATTCTGACCCAGCATAGGGGCAGCTATATGGTCTATAAGAACATTGGGACTCATGTTTTAGCTTGCTGTAATATGGATATATGCCAATGCACCCAAAACTCTGATATTTACAGGGAAGCTCAAGAGATGCGGCAACCTTCTCCAATGCAAGACACCTAATATTACCAAGTTCATGCCTACAGGTGGGGCACCGGTTGTGCACCCTAGGTTTGCAACCAGAACACAATGTGTGTCCATTTGAACACTGCACAAAGAAAGAAAACCAGCAGTTAGTTTATTGTGTTAATGTTCACTATTAATTTATGTAAATGTTAGATATAATCTTGCACATAGACATGGTTTGCTAGAGATATGTTTAGGATGATTTAGTACAAGTAAGGTGGTTGAAACTGATATCATTCCTAGAAAATTTCCGAATATTGCAAGAGATTCCACCAGACACAACTTACAGAACATATTTGTTAAACAATTTCATGAGAGCAATCATCAAATTAAGGTGTTATATGAACAAACCTGATGAATTGGTGGGTACATTGCATTTAAGCACACAGGGCACTCCAACAGCTCACGAACGCTGCTAGACACAGTCACATTAGGTTTTATAGCAGCCTGAGTAGGATCATTCACAGATTCACTATCAATAATGTCTTCATTTTGTGGAGGATCAATAACCTCAGGCTTGCTCCGCAAGTCATCAAAAAATGGATTCCCAGATGCCATGCTAGTATCTATGCCTAGTCTAGACTGAAAAGACAAAAAAATAAAGTGCATGCACAAAATCAGTTAACATTCAGCATACCAAACACAAGCAACTTAAAATCTTTGATATGTGTCAAATTTGACAAGAAGTTAACGTATTAAACAATTACTCCAAGTCAGCTTATTTTTCATACTTTTAAATTCTACCACAGAATCATACTTTTAACGCATCAGCTTATTTTTCAGCCCATCATATATTCCACTTTGGCAAAAAGGATTTGACTTGTTTAAAACATGATATAGGTGCCAAAATTTAAATGAAACTAAAATCTAATTGTAAAAAGTTACTGTTTCATACAATCCTTTCTCCAAAGTTCACATGCAAAGGTTCCCAAACATGGCAGATCAACATGGACATTTACCTTTAACAAGTCATGTAGAAATCAACAACATGAATAGAATTAACTCTATTTTCGACTATTTAAGTCAAACCAATCCATTTAACATTCTATAATAACTAAGATCCGTCAATGCACATTATCACAATTAGTCTACCACTCAACAAAACAAGAAATCTGATTCAATCATAAGGACAAAATATTCTTACCACCCAAGTTTTTTTTAAACCCCTCAATCCTCTCCCTTTCTTCTCTATCAAATTCACCGGCCGGCAGTCGATTCCACCTTACCCTACAAATAATAAACATTCATCAGACAATCAGATTAAACTTCATTTTCTTTCTTCAAAAATACCCAGCTTAAAAATTCATAATTGTGGAAAATTACATCAATGTAGGTAGAAAAACAAATGAAAACAGAAACTGGACAAACCTACTTGTGACTGAACCACATAAAGACTATAAAAAAACCCTAAAAAAAGAGACACCAATCCAAAATTTTCAAAAATAAAACTCCCCAAAAGAATCAAACAGATCTAAAATATTCCCAGAAAAGGAAACTTAACAACCAACAAGAAAGACCCAGAAACCAAAACAACAAAAGAAAAAAGGGCGAAAACCCAGAAAACCAACCTTCAATCCAAACTCAAAAACCCATTTGAATTGTAAAAAAAAAACAAAAACCCCCCGAAGAAAAGAAGTGGACGGCCACCCAGAATGAAGAAGAAAACTTTTA